GCTCGACGTTTTTTATTGTTGGATTTGTAGACTTTATATTGCAGATTTCAATTTTCCGAGCAAGCTTAATTGTTGTACGTTTTCTTTTAGGTGCCATGTTTCACAAAGGCGAATTCTATAGACAAATATAATTGGCTGAAATATGCGGTTTATCGGGGTCATGAGATTGTAAGTCGTTGCATATGAACTCTATCAACAAGTATTTATAAGGTCTCGATTGAGAATAGAAGATGCTTCACATATACTCTGTCGGTCAATGTAATATTGGTAAATACACTGTGAAAGTCGTGACGAACCGGAACAGAACTTTTTTACTAAATAGTATTACGGATACAAACGCTGATAGTATAATTTGACACAAGATTCTGGACAACTCGATATTTACACAGACTTTGTCAAGCGTCCATTTATTAATAATATATTGCGAGTTCGTGCCACCAGCGATCAGTTTTGCCAACTCGATCTTTATTTCGAATTTACCATGTCGATTAAAGTCCTTATCCTTGGAGCTGGTTATGGTACCCGTCTTCAACGAGATATCCGCGCAGACCCTACGCAAGCTTATTCTCATCTTCTTGGCATTCCCAAGGCTTTACTTCCCGTTGGTAATTACGATGCGCTAATAAGTGCTTGGCTGGATGTTCTTACGGATGGAGGAATTGATTGTGGAAGTGATCTATACATCGTGACGAATGCAGTGAACTATGATGCATTTATTGCTTGGACAAAGACGCATAATATTCCAGCCGATCATATTTGTAGCGATGGAACAACGGCAAATGAAAATCGTCTTGGTGCAGTGGCGGATATCGAATACGCAATTAAATATTTCGAGCTAGATTCGGATATTTTAATAATTGCGGGCGATCTACTGTTTTATCGTGATTTTAAGCTCTCTGATGTGCTAATTCGCTTTTCTTCGCTGTCCGACGATGATTGCTTGACAGTGACGTACGCCGTTCCCGATGAATTTACGAAAAGATGCGGAATTGTGACAATAGATGAATCGCTCAACAATTTAATAACGCACTTCCTTGAGAAACCAGACCCGGAAGAAACCGTATCCCGGAATGCTTGTCCATGCTTTTATTTGCTCAAAAAAAGTGCAATAAGCTTGATCTCAGAATTTCTGAGAGTCTCTGAAAAGAAGGGCGAAGCTCTCGAACAGCGTGATGCAACCGGAAAGTTCTTGGCATGGGCAATTAATGGAGGCAAATGTAAATTTTATGCAGAATACATAAGCGGAAGAATTGATGTTGGGGGGTTGAATAGTTATGTAGAAGCTTTGAAGTATTTCGAATAGGTTATTAATAAAGTCTACCTGACACTATTCTACAAACTCTGCCTTAAAAATCCAAATGCAAATACACGTGTGGTTGTAACCTCTAACGCTCCTAGAACACAAAATGTACCAACTGCACGCCCAATTCTGACAGCTCCTATAGCATTTTATCCTTCTCTTGGTCTTACCGAGGACTAAACAGTCGAGAGAAGTAAGGTCAAACTCACCAGAAAGACTTGTGTTACAGAGTTACAGACAATGCAAGATTTGTCACATGATTGATCAATTGGGATATTTTGCCGACATTTCTATGTTTAACGATAAACTGAATCCATATATATATTCAGTTGTATGTAGGTCGACATCTGCCATTGTATACTGGATCGATAATAGACTATATACCATATTGTATGTTCATTATATTGCATAGACTGTTTATTCAACTATTCCTCATATTGATCCAACTATATAACAAATAATTATCAGAATCAAACGAGCTATTAAATTTTCACAAAATTACCAAGAGCCTTACCTGTAATGTAAGCGTCCTGCTACTGTTAACGTCCTGATCTCTATAAATCCCAACCAGCGCCTGCGCTTTCTCATATAATGTACTCTTTAGTGAAATGACAATAAACTGAAACGTATCTGACGCGTGCTCTCGGATATAATTAGCTATCTTAGCAACATTGGTATTATCCAAAGCAGCGTCGACCTCATCTAACACAAAGAACGGCGACGGTTGATAACTGTGAATGGCGAAGAGCAATGCAAGAGCCGCCATTGTCTTCTCACCGCCAGATAACTGTTCCATGTCACGGAAACGTTTCATCGGAGGCATTGCGTGGTATTTTACACCATCAAGGTATGGCTCCTAAGCGGATGCGCCATCAGTTAATAATGTAGGTGAACCGTCACAACTGTTACATAGCGTGATTTGATGAAATATTCAACGTACCTCTGTATCTTCCAAACTAAGATAAGCCGTCCCCCCAAGAGGAAAGTTACGGCTTTTAGTAAGATCTTTGTATATTTGGTCAATGCGCTCAGCAATATGACTATACGCATCGTAAAAACGTTTGTACCTAGAACGCAAACTCACTTCAATCTATGATATACTGCTAACGGTAATTAATGAACACTGAACTGTTACCGTTTTTGCTTTATCGCATTAAATTTTTCCTTTGCAGTCTTCGCTTCTCTTCTTGCACTATCAAATTCTCTTTCTGTCTCATGTAGACGCTGTTCCACTCCATCCAACCTGTGTACGGGGCTTATACTTAGTATTCTGGTTGGGTTTATTAAAAGTAACTTGTCACATAAGCTCACCGTTCAATGGCCTTTAGGTTAGGTGCAACTCGCTCTATCTCGGCCGCCTTCTCTTGTATATCTTTCAAAAACTTTTGCTCCGTTTCAGGCGAATCATCCTGAGTGGATAAAGCACGTTATGACATTATTTGACCTTAACAACTTATTTCTAATTATGTGCTTACCTCCTTTTGTTCTCGATCCAACCCAGAATAGTCCACTTCGACATTCCAGTTAGTCTCACCTCGAGCAGCTCGTGCCGCAGATCTAGTATTAGCTCGACTGCCGCCATCATCTAAATCCATTGGGTCACCGTCTTGTAAAGACTATATAGTGTATCGTAGCGTAAAAATAGATTGAAAATAGTCAAATGGGGAATCCGACGACTCGGAAATACCATATAATGTAGCAAACTGAAAGCTTACAGAGTCTTCAAGTGGAATGTTTTCGAGTGAGCCCGAGAGCAAAGGTATGTCAATGTCTTCTAGTTTACATTTACGAAATATAAAGAACTGATCTGTGCTGCATTTCTTGACATCGGCTTCCTGTAAAAAAAATCATTTATAAATCTTTATCAAATCGGAATCTTAACAAGCAATTAAGACTTCATTCAGAACACTCACCCTATTGGAAATATCTTTCAACATTTTATCCACTTCTCTTGTCTTCTGAGCTAACTCTTTTCTCAAATTATTCACTATTTCACTCTTGGTTTCGTATTCTTCCTTTGTCCGATCAAGGTCGTGACGGAGTTCTGCAATTTCGTTGTTAACACGCTCGTTATCAGCAAGCATTGCGTTACGGCGTCGTTCAAAATTTGCCAACAACTTTTTATCGTTAGACATAAATTCTCGTATTTTCTGAAGACGATCTGCGGTTTCCTTCAACTGTTCAGTCTCGAACGTTAAACTATTGGGAGAATTGATTAGAAGACTTGCCAGCTCTGAAAAACAAACTCGCGATATACCAACTCACAGGTTTTGATATCGAGACTGATGTGTAGTAAATCGTAATCTCATTTCAGCGGCTTCCTGAGCCATTTTGAGCTGTCGTTGTTCATATTCTCTGATGTTTCCTACATTAATCTTTTTGCAAAAATCGGCAAATATCGTATCTTCTTTACTGTGAATTGCTTTTTCGATTGTCTGTATTTGATTCTCCAACTGTGATAAAGTGGTTTGGGACTGTGAAGCTGTTAGTAACTGAGGTAGAAGGATTGTTAAACGTATCATATTTGACACATACTTGTTCATGTTTAGGGGTAACTTGTAAAATCTCGTCCTCAATAATACGTAGTTCGCTCTCTAATGACGCTAGTTTACGGATGATATTATCCTATAAAATAACTCGCGTAAGTAAAGCCAATAATATGGAAACTTATTCGAGACTTTATCGATTACCAGATCATCACGAAACAGAGATAATTTCTGCTCAGCGGCTGATATTTCGCCTTTCATCTGTTCTTCTGAATGACCCTTTCGCCTAAGCTTGATTAGCTCGTTAAGTTGAGCCAGGAATGCATCCCTTTTGCGCCGCAATGCTACAAAACGATATAGTAACTCGACGTTAATATATCGTTCGATATACGTGAGACAGTTAGATAACATACGTCTTACCATCTACTTCCTGCTCTTTAAACCTTTGTGCGCCAGCTTCGATACCGCTTCTGCCGCCAGTGATCAAACCACTCTTATGAATAATAGTACCATCCAAAGTTACAGCTATAAAATATTGTAAAACAATTTCAATTCTAACAGGCGATTTCCATAGATCATTCCCAAACAAAGATTACCTTATTTCTCATTAATCTCAAAATAAGCAGAAATGTAACTACCTTTCACCTCTTGGTTCCTACCATAGCAAATAGCCTTTGCTATCTCCAAATCGTCGCAAACAAGAGTATTTCCACATGCATATTGTAAAGCACGCTCAAGCTCATCCGGGTACTCTATAACATCAATTGCCAATCTCGCACCTTTCATCAAGCTACGATATTTGTCGTTGATCGGCCTGACAGCTATAGTGTCGAGTGGAATAAAAGTCGCATGACCAAGGCGTTGCTCTCTCATATACTTAATAGAAATCAAATATTCAACATCAAGATAATTCTATTAAAACTGAAAACAAAGTAATAAGGTAAATTACTTGAATGCATTCAATGGCTGTTTTTTCTGTAGCTACTATAATAGCGTCCATGTTCCTTCCAAGTATTATAGAAGTGGCAACTTCGTACTTGCGCTGAGTTGGCTGGCAAAGGTCAATAAAGCGACCATATACACCGCTAAATACTCTTTTCAAGCTGTTCAAAGATTCCTTCATTCTAGCCTCTCTTTCAGATTCCCGCTGGTCAACTCGCGCATCGTTAAGACGGTTAAGAATGACTTGGAGCTGTGTATTGAGCTCGCTCTCGCGTTTGCTTGTGGATGGATACAAAAAGTCGCGTTAATAAAAGAAGCAAATAGAAAGTTATAATAATAATAATGACAAAACAATTACGTTATTCTATTCCGCTCGTTAACCACATTATGTAAGTCATTTCTCTGATTTTCGAGATCTGTAGTCAATTGAGCAACATAGCCTGCAACCTAAACAGTGCATGCGCATTAATAACCATGCTGTACGTTTTTTTCAAAGATCTATGGACCCTTCAACTTCAAACCTTTTCTTTGGCGTTAAGTGAAGCATCTTTTTCTTCCATGACTTGCTGGCGACGTCTAGAGAGTTCGGATATTTTTTCTTTCAAACGTTGAGTGGCTTCACTGCTGGTTTTCTGTTGACGTCTAAGATTCTCTAACTGCTGTTTTTCTTTGAGCATCTGCCGGTTGACTTCTTCTTTTCTGATTACAACTAAAGAGTTAGTCGACACACGGGCAGCAACTAATTTATGTTTGTTGGCCAACGGATGTCATTCTTGCCTTTTGTTATATTCTGCCAAGTCGGATGTGCTGAGCCTTCCGCTCGTACTGCTATTACCAGACTTTAAAGAGTCTAGCCAAACGGTTGTCTGTTAGAGTGCGTTGAAATGCTTTCAGAGTCAACAATACGTGATATCCACCTTCATATCTCTGTGCCGCTGAAGTAATTTCTTCCAAATCTTGTTTTAGCTTGTCGACATGCCGGGTCTTTTAATACAGTCTCCAGTGAGTATCCCATCAAGTTAAACTTGTGAAAGTGCTAACCAATATTCACCTGTTTTTGATAATCCTGATCAATTTTCTCAGCATTTGCTTCATAGTGCTTTATTTTCTTGTTCGAATGAATAATCTTTTCTTCTAATGTTAGCAACTCTGGTCTCTGTAATAAAACCATTTTTGTTAAGATATTGCTAACATTGTCGTACTTGAGCGATTCGTTTTTGAATCATTGTATCACATTACTTTCTCTTCTAGTTCTCTTTCTTTCGTCAGAATGTCTCTTTCCAGTTGATAATGTGTTCTATGCACTTTCGCCTGTTCCGCTCTCGCATCTCTGAGCTGTCGGTCGACCCTTTCCTTTACAATCAACAAATTTATATCAATAGCAAAATAACATATATATGTATACGTATGTCTAATAACTACCTGTTCTTTTTGTTTAGCAGTAATTTTTTCGCCCAGACTACTCATTTCCTTTCTTGACTCTTTTATTTGCTTGTCAATGTGATAGAGTCTCCAAAGCAAATACTTTATAGTGAGCTGGGTCTAATCATAATATCGAATTAGTTAATCTCGAATTATAAAAACAAAACGCTGTCAATATAAACCTTATCATTCTGTAATTGTTCAAATCTCTCTGCTTCTGCTCTCTGCTCTTGATATTGTTTAATTTCAGCATTAATGCCGCGCTTTTTGTTAAAATTAAATGCAGAATTTTCTGTTGCACGCTCTTGCTGTACTTTCAATTGTTCATATTCGACTTTTAATTCTGCTGATCTTCATAGGAAAGTGATGAGAAGGTTTAATGTCCGGATATCCGAGGTTTAACTGTCCAGATATACACAGAATCAATTACCCGCTAATCTGCTCAATTAATCGTGTCAAATCTTTCGGAGACTGTGACGCAACGGCTTCCACGTCACCCTAATTTTAAATCATAATTGTAAATTCTTATATTTAATGTACTCAAACATTGTTACTTACTTGGAAGACAAGAAAGTTCCTAGCCTTCACAAGAATATTCTGTTTTTCCAATGCTTCATTATACTTTTGATATGTCACTACTTTATTGTTGATCTTGTATTCGCTTGGACCTGATGTTGTTATCCTAAAGGTAAATATGACTAGTACGATCAGTTGGGAGCATGCTGAAGATACTTTGAAACGTTCAACTTACGTTCGCGCAAACTTGATTTCGTTTCCATTGTCATCTTGATAAACAGCCATAACCCATGCACGTTTTGGATTATTGGCGCGCCCTTCGATGGCTGTAACATCTCCATCCTCGTCGTCATCTTCATGCATTGCTCGGCCTCTGTATATAAGATCGCGTAGTTGTGATGAACGTAGTTGCGCGGATTTAATTCCCAGAACAAAGGATATCGCGTCCATTAGGTTGGACTTGCCTGGATATGTGTCAATGAAAAGCCAAAAAAAATATATGGTTGGGAAAAATCATTTATAATGATTGTTGATGCTAGACGTAGCATGTATCTTGGTATTATAGTTCGCAAGTACTTTATTTGCTCTATGCCAGTTAGACAATAATTTAAAGGTACTCTTTTTTGTATATTACTACTTAACCAGTACGTCGTCTCTTACTTAACCGGATACAGAAAAGTTATAATGTAACAGACCTGCACCGTTCGGTCCTATTACTGAAGTAAAATTGAGAAAAGGCCCAATAGTCTGATGGCCCTTGTAAGACTTAAAGTTTTCCAGTTCAAGACGAACTAGTCGACCCATATTGAATAATTTCTCGCAATGGACGCGAACTTCTGTGAGAGGACGAAGCAGTTAGGAGAGCGGTATTAGGCGTTGTTGATCACGAGAAAGAAATGATGTATGTGGTAATGGTTTTGATTGGTTGGAAATTTACATGTGTAACTGCAGTTTCTAGAAGTCTGGCCATGTGAGACTGACTAGATTTGAATTCTCACGTACTTAAATTGCTACCTTTTCCCTTGTAATCATGTCTGAGCACGAAGCTCAAGCACTCGTTGCCAAAGCTGATAAGAAAGCCGCCTCTCTTGGGTGGTTCGGCGGAAATAAGTTTGAGGAGGCTTCAGAGTTGTATAATAAGGCAGCTAATGCATTTAAATTGGGTAAACGATGTAAGTTGGCTTTGTTCCCGCTGCATTAGAGAGGGCGGCATGACTAGCGGTAAAATAGTAAAATTTAACGTCGGGTTGAGTTAATTTATTGTGCTTGAGTAGTGCAAGTTGTTTCAACTTTTGAGTGAATTCTCTTACAGGTTGATATAATTTGGATAATTAGGGAAAGAAGCAGGCGACGCATTTATGAAATCAGCTCAGATGCAAATACAACTTAATGAACGGGATGAAGCTGCTATGACTTACATTGCAGCTTCAAAGTGCTATAAGAAAGGATGCCCTGAAGGTTATAATACGATTTATTGTTGGTCTTCTTGTTATATTTATATTTTCCTTCATTTAATACTGGTCGTGTTATAACAGAGTCGATAATGGCGTTAAAATCAGCGATCGAGATTCTTACTGATCGTGGACGGTTTCATAGTGCTGCTGGTCATCAGAAAGAGATTGCTCAGATATATGAATCTGAACTGATTGATCTAGATAGGGCAATGCAAGCATATGAATTAGCTGCAGATTGGTATGCTGCCGAGGAAGCCACAGCGTACGTATGCGGACCATATGTTGGAACTGAAGATCAGCAGGCGCAATTTTGATGCGTAGAACGACTATGAAAGATTTTTATTTTATTTTTCCACCTACGCTCCACGATGTTGTTTCGGAAACGTTGTTGATATCTTCATTATCTTCCCTAATAGACTGGCCAATAATTGCCTCGTGAAAGTTGCACATTTTGCCGCTACTCTAGAACAATACGATAAAGCTATCGAGAAGTTTGAGCAAGTTGCTACAGCAAGCATTGATAATCAATTGACGAAATGGTCAGTGAGGGATTATTTCTTGAAGGCAGGACTGTGTCACATTGCCAATGGAGATGTTATCGGTGCACAAAGAGCCCTTAATAGATACATTGAAATGGACTATAGTTTCAGTCAAGAGATGCAATGCATATTCTTAAAGGTATGAAATACAAATATGCATTATTGAGAGAAATACAGCGTATTGACTTTATGATTTAAACACTGGCACGTCTTGTATCGAAACCTAATGTCTCTTAGGATATCTTAACTGCCGTCGAGAGCCAAGATCCTGATTTCTTGACCCAAAAAGTCAAAGAATACGATTTGCGAAAACACTTGGATAATTGGATGACTACAATTCTGCTCAGGATTAAGAATAGCTTATCTGCAGAACCGCTATTAACTTAATTATTGGTACTGTCAAGGCTTAAATCTGTATAAGCGTTGTAGCGGCACAGATTTTATAGGCGTAGCTTGTTTCGCTCAAAGTTATCGAGTTTGAAGTTTGTATGTTTTACTATTGAAAGTCACATGATAGTTAATGGATGAGTGTACTTCTTATTGGCTCAAATTGTCCCAAAATTTGTTTTACAGAAATATGAATATGATATAAATACCTGAAGTTCCTAATACGGTTGGTAGCGATATTTAAAATGCGTAGATGTTAGGTGTTTATATGAATATCAAGATGGTAATTCTTGTATGTATTAAATATTCAAACAAGCACTTTCTCAGTAAAATTACTGTATGAGGTGAAATAGTAATGTGGCTGTTCTTGTATGTATTAAATATTCACATGTGCTAAAAGGATGACAATTACTGTATTCTAACGTGTCAGACATTCCTTGTCGCAAAGGCGTTAGCGAAAGCTCAATTTGATAACGATGACTACTAAATCTCGCCGTACAACATTAATCTTTTCACTAGTTACATAAACCCTTAGCTTGTCACTAAAACACTCTGAAACTATAATCTTTTCGTTATATTCTTAAAGCATTAATTCGTATAATAATAATAATAATAATAATAATAATACGTGGGGAGTTCAAAAAGTTTTGACACAGTGCACATATTTCAACAACCACTGATCGTCTCAGCTTTATAAATATTTATATTAAAGCTTGAGTCATACTCGATTAAACAT